GTGTTTTGTTTTTGTGAATTTTCAACACAGTTGATGTTTTTTATTTAATGGTTTGCACGCTCGCCATTGGCCTCTAACACTACGACCTTGGGGTTCCACCGTTACTCTGATTCACAGGGAGATCGGAGCATTGTGTCAGGTCAACCACACCTGTACCAGTTGTTTGTCGCAGGTTACGCTGGCATTGGGTAAGTCCATCATTTCCAAGTTGTTTCCGCCATTTTGCCTGGCCAGGTAAACTGCGCCACCTGTTTATTCCAGCCAATGCATCGATCCGCACGCACGCCACACGCAAGCTGACGGCGGGCAAGAAACGATGGTGATGTTTGCGCAACTGCTGATGAACAGGACTCTCTTTCTCAACGCGTACCCTTGTGCGGCTCGGAGCCAGAACTGCTTTTCTACATCATTCAGGCCCATTGAGGTGGCACGGTCTTGCCCAGCCAGGTCATTGTGGAGTTGAGATGTGTTGAGTAGGGGCGGAAGAGGAGATAGTAGTGGGTTGGTATGGTTATGTGGGATCAGGGTTCAGTTGGTGGAGGTGGCGGTGCCAGCACTGGGGCGCGGCGTGCCGATATCGCACAGAGCGCTGCGCCGTTTGGCTGCGCAGAATGATGCCGGCCCTGTGGCGTGGACGGCTCGTCGATCACAACGCACCTCGTGGCCGGCGCAACCTGCGCGCGGCCGCTTGTTTGTCGCCTGTCGGATTGTGCTTGGCCTGGGCTTCAATTTCTTCATAATCCATCATGGTGGGCATCTGCTCTGGTGTCAACCCAGATGTGATCTTCCATCTCAGCAGATGGTGTAGCGCCAAGACCTTCTACAAGCACTCCATGATCCAAGAGATCCTGCAGGCATTCACCAACATCATCTTCAACATCAATGACCCCCTGCTCAACCTGAATGAATTGATGCTGTAGAAAACAACATTCAAGTGTTCCCCCCTTCCCTTGGGTAACTGTAGTTACCCCAGGTAAGTGGGATTACCCCAGATGGGGGAACACTTCTGTGATACGTCCCAACCCTCCCACCCCTAGACACTTTCTCCCAATGCTCACTTGGAGAAGAAAAGGATGACTAATATGGGGCTTGTTTTAACTTTTTATTTTTTATGTCTACAACAATAAAAAATATTTAAGTTAAAACAACAACAACACAGAAGTGTTCCCCCATCCAGGGTAACCCCACTTACATGGTAACAAAAAGAAAAAATGCTTAACCTAATCTCAATTTAGGAACACTGATGCCTCCCACATGTTGGCTACTCCCCTGTGTAGTCTCACTAAAAATCCCCTCAAATGAGGGGTGATCTCTTGAAAGAGGAGGTGTGCATGTGAAACAGCTCAGGGCCTGGGCATCAGTGGGATCCCCCTCCCACAGGGGGGAAACCTGCCACCTGTTGGGCCAAGTGTCAAGTGTGAACCCAACCCAAGCCCTCTGGTGTGTTGGAGACTGTCCCTACATTGGGTGAGCCAGGAATTTTGTCTTCTGATTGCCTGCACACCCCTCATCACATTTTTGAAACCACTGCCTGGACAATCTCCAGTTGGCCTTCCTGGATGAGGAGGTCAACTGGCTCCTCAGAGAGTGTGCAATCTATCTCTGCAATAATAGATATGCATGCCCTCATTCTTCCTTGGTGTGCCCAAGTTCAAGTTTGACAGGCTCATGGAGCTGTCCAATGTGATCCACAAGGGTGACTGGACAGCCACAGGTTTCAACATGTCAAAGTTGATCCAGCCCACCACCACCTCCTGGGGTTAAAGGGCAAGGCCAATGCTATAACCAGGTCCTAGCATAATGGGCTTTGAAAATAGCATGTATGTAATGGGGCAGTTACCTCCTTCAGGAGCTTCAACAGTTCCTGGTTGTTGGCCATGGCTGATGGCAGGGTGCCTTACAGGTACAACTCAGCAGATGACCTGAGTTGGAACACTCTCTGTGAAATCACCCACCCTTCCCACTACGCCTTGGAAGCAAGAAAGATGACATACCAGTAGTGTTTTTATTTATTTGATTGCGGGCTGTGAAATGAATAAGTAGTAAAGATAAATATTCGGAATATTTCGTGATTTTTCTTGTCTACTGTCTTTATTTCCTTTTCTCTTGTGGTGTACTTTCTCTAACCCCGGCAGATGGAAGGCCTGAAGGCAAAGGATGGTTTGGAACTGAGCGAGGAGCTGCAGAGAGGCATCGCATCATATGGGGTGCCCGAACACGAGCTTACGTTCCTCCAGCGGCGCGCCATTGCTCGGCTGGCGGAGGGGAAGGACGTGGTGGTCCACGCCGGAGGGGGGCGAGGCAAGACCATCGCCATGGTGGTGGG